AACAGCAGCACACGGCCCGTTCCACTCACAAGAAAGGACAAGTGCGGCTGCAGCCATATATAGAAACTAAATGCAGCTACCAAACAGTGTGCGGTTCAAATGAAAGGGGAACAAAAAGCTTTCACCCTGCTCCCTTTGCATCAAGCACTTGTAGTTCAGTAATTTCTTTTCCAGCTTTCAAATAGGTGTTTTTGTCTGGTGAACTCTAGTGAACTGGGAACATTCATTTTTGAAAGTTCCTAAATTAATAACATTCCATTAAATTTAATCTTGTGTAACCCTAAATCACAACAGTAGCTATCTAGAAGGACTTATCAAAACCGTTACATTTGTACAGATCAGAGAATCAAGATTTCAAAATGATAATAACACATGAAGTCATTGGGCCATAAGGGGCGGATGACCAATGTCCATAAATGTTTTCTTGAAGGACAGTAGTTTCATTAAAGGGGGGAGGGTTCAAAATTGGACCGGGGAGCTTAAGTGTTAAAGTGCTGAAACCAACAGTAAGAACATGCAAACACCACTTAGAAATCCCTCATGTCCCTATCGATTCCCAACCTGTCAGCCACTGTGACTGTGCTGCATCACAAAACTCACAAAAGATAGCATAGGGATCAATATAGGTTTGTGTTGACAAATACTCCATACTCAGTGAAGTATAATACCCCTCATTTATAACAAAAAATCATCACTCACAATCACATGAACACAAACAGCTCAAAAAATCTAGTACTTCTGTAGATTTATCACACCACAAATTACTGCGGCAATGTACAATGCACCTCTCTACATTCCTCTCTGCACATGGAGCTTCTGTAGGAATAAAGGGTATTGCATTAGAAACAGATATTCATACAGGGTTTTGGATGATTGATCATTTTTGCAGCGTCTGGGCGTTTGAATGTTAAACCTTGGGCTCTATTGTTTGCGCCTCGCCTAGTCTTTTTGCGATGAGAAAATAAAAATAACAAGGTGAAAGAGTGAGATACAGCAGCTCAGGCTCATGTTCACTATCTGCTGCTTACATTTATTTGCGCGTTAGCTCTACTTCTGTCACTTTATCTCCTCATGGCAAAGAATTCCTTATCCCGTAGTGTTTGTGGTGAAGCTTAATACTTTTTGAACTAGAATTAGAGATAAAAAGCTTTCTGTTGTTTTGCAAAGATAACATAATACAAAATAGAAAATACCAAAACTTGAACCAAATTTAAAATACAGAAATGTACATATAAGTAGAAGAGTAGAAGTGCTGAAATTAAACATATGTAAACTTGTGACACACTAAATTGACTTTTTACAGATTTGTTCCATGTTAAAGTTTTTTTTTTTTTTCAATCACTCCGATCAAAGTCAGGCACAATTTATCTAAAAAGTATTGTCATCACGGTAACAGCAAGTATAATATTCATCTTGCAATGACATGCCATAAATTAAAAAACCCTCTAGTATAAATCCTGTCTTTCTTTCATCCATAAGTTGTTCTTACTTTTACCAATCACCAAATGTGAAAGAGATAAGCGAAAATCAGAACCACTTGTTCCTTTAAACACTACAGTTCTGGAACGAATTTGGCTTTAGTAGAGACGCCGTGTTACAGAGGCAATAGGCTTCCCTGCAATGTAGTCTAATGGTCTATGCAAATGTCCTTTTTTAGGTGGAGAAAAATAGTGATATAATAGAGATTTTGGGCTCAACAGAAAAATATTTCATACAGGACTTACTAATATTAATATCAAAACTTTACACATGCCTTTACTCATTTTGTTTAATCAATTGGAGGTTTCTAATATGCCTCTCCGTATACCTCCCCTTAACACTAATCTGCGGTAGATAAGGAGGAAAGTGATCTCGCCCGCTACGAGACACGATAACGTAATCTTGAAAAAACCAATGTAAGAGAGCCGATAATGTCACCCCCTCACGGCCTGTTGTCAGCGTAGTCTTTTGGCTCCAATTTGAAAGATTTCTCCTGAATGTGGAGTGTGAAAATGGCGTGACCCCGCAGTGTGCCAGGCTGCGCTCCCATTGATCTACTGGAGGTCAGGAGTTGGAACAGGAGCTGCTGTAACAGAGACTTTAGCAGCATAAGCCACACACTTTAGCCTTTGGTGCGCTCATAAAACCCATGACTGTGTCATGCATTATGGGAATTAAAATACAAATGTGCCCACGGACCCTGCTGTACGTCGACAGATTATCAGAAATGTTTTGAACTGGGTGGCGTTCAAAGTACATCCGCAAGTCTATAGCACTGCTCAATAAAAGTTTGTTATGAATGACTTAACAGGAAGAGTTATTAGGTTCTTTTGGCGGGACTTATGAACGTCAAAAAGATGGTTGCTCTGTACGGTGGAAGCCCCTCGCGTAAGGGGCGAGACATTGAGTGTTGGTGCCAAGGAGAACTCCAATAACATGTGTTCCAACACAACGGACACTATTAAGTTAATGATTTATTGAGCTTTGTTAATGATTTGGTTGTTTGTCGTCTTGTGTATGTGTGTGCACTTGTGTGTTTATGTTTGTTAGCGTAAATTTCAGTTACTTTTGAATTGTGTCGAGAGAGATATTTATTTCCAAAGCAAGGACTGGACAAGTTAGACGCGCCCATTCTAACCCCCACTGCTTAGTGATTGGACAGAAGTTATTTGAATCACACAAATCTTACTGGTGGTGGAAATTATATGTGGATATGTGTAATGTGGAGGATATTGTTGTTGGAAAATATTGAATTTACGTGACATTACATGGTCAGATGGTCAAAAGAATGCATTATTTTCGTGCTTGTACTTCTCGAGGAGAAGGTCTTGGGTGCTCCGGTTTATCCTACTGCTGATAACAAGCACAACAGGTTTTAATGTAATGCGGCTTCTTTCATTAGGAAAAATATTGTTACTAAAATTGCAACTGACCTTTGTCTCTGTGGTTTATAAATAAATATTACTTACATCTTATTTCCTTTAAAAATGAATTACAATCTTAGTTACTGACATCACCTTTAAAAGTAACTTTAAAAACGATATTGTTGGATAGTACTGGAGGTAAAGTTTTGGGGTTTTTTACTTAAATTGATGAGTTCCATAACTGTGTTGTGGCTTCGTCTGATGAATGGTGGTTTTTGAGTTTTATAATGGAACATGGACCAAATAATAAAAGAAAGAAAAGGAAAGAAAGAAAGAAAGAGAAGAGAGGAATACAGATACATAAATGTCAACAGAAACATCTGATAAAACCTTCAAAGTCCAAGAGAACGTTCTACATTCTATACAACATCTTGACTGCTCCCTGTTTGTTTGGGGATTCCACTTGAAACCATTCGCAAAGTAATTCAGCTTGAGCAATTCTTCCAACATTCTTCTACATTTTAATATAAATGTTGATCCAATTTCTCCTAGTGCACTGGGGGACTCCCAAAGTGATGCTTACACATTTGATTCTTGCATTTTTGTATTCCACACACACCATTTTTTTTGCTACCATATCGCTATTATTACAACCATCAATTTTTTCCTGCACACTTACTTGCTAAAAAGTATGAATGTAGAACTAATCTCACTACTGCCGCTGCCATAGCTGCTGCTCCTACATCATATTTCCCCTGCACAAACTCTTTGGCATTCATACCCAGATTTCGGAGCCAGAGCCACTCGCTGTAAGTGTTATGTCTTCACACGCAATATTAATAATTTGGCTTTTTCTATAGGCAAAGAAATGCATCGTATCCTCAATCTCAGGCTGATTTCTACGGTACACTTTGCCATCTCACATGCTGAAATGTTTAGTGGAGAATGTGGCCAGGTGGTTTTCATGTTTGCACCAAAACAATGACTGACTTCATAACAAAGATAAACAGACCACTTATATCTTATCTTTAATGCACCTTCACTACTGTAAGTTGATGCCACGGTTTTGTCTTTTTTTCTATCCCTAAAGGCATTAATCCCTAAAAGCACTCTGAGATGCTCTGCGAATGAATTGTGGTCTACTAATAAACTTCCCTTGCTATTAGCCGGTAGTAGACGGAAAACATTGTCTTAATTGCATTTTTATCTCTTTGATTCATACTGTGATTCTTTCTGTTTTTATCTGTTTATGATTTGAATGTTTCCTTGTATGATTTGAATGTTTCTCTTGTGAGTTGTGCTATACAAATTAACATGCCTTACTTTTGTTTAAGTAAACTAGTTTCTAAACATTCTATCATGTTGAAAAATAAGACAAACATGTATGAAAATAAATAAAATACTGCTTAAAATAATAAAAGATTATAGAATAATAGAATAATTAAAGAAAATATGACTTGACAAGATTTATGATCAAATCTCAATAATGCTAGCTCCAAATGACCTAATTCTAGTATAAATTATACATTTAAGTATTATTTACTTATTTCTTAAACATTTTAGAGAAATGTTTTCTGCTGTTAGGTTATCCTGAAGGCCACTAGGGCGTTCTGTCCGCTATGTTTTAGTGGTATTATATTTAAGTCCCAAATTCTGCAAACTCTTTTTAATGGTGTAGATTTTATTGCAAAGCACATATTTTCATTCAAATACTATTATTTAGGCCAAGGGTCCAGTAGCCAATATTTGTGCGCCTCTAGTTGGAAAACATTGGTTTGTAAACTAATTTTTTGTTTTGATTCTTGTAATGCAATTTTACACTTTTAAAGAGTTAACTAAATTGATTATGTCAATAGTTTCAAAGTCCCTATTCCACATGTTGAAGCAGACCCTTTCTAAAAAGGAAAAAGCGGTATTTAAAAATGCATGATGTATAATGTAGTCTCATCATTTACTAAAAATATTTGCATGTAAAATTAGTCTAAAGGGATGTGAACTTTGCTTGCTTGGGTCACAATTTGCAGTGATGAAAAAACCCTATGTGTCATATGCTGCTCCATAAGTGCCATCTGTCTGCCTCTCTAAGCAGGACAAGACTCTTTCAGGAGCCGCCAGCCAACACGGCGCTCTGCCAACCACTTCCTCAGGAAAAGCATCATGGGACGTGAGGTGTGCAGAGAGCAGCCCCCAACGGGACGCTACGATGAGCAGGAAGCCACCCGGCAACATACACCTCCTCGTCAGCATCTGCACCAGGCCGCGGCTTTAAAGGGCCACTGGATATCCAGGTTGGATTTGTGACTGTTATTGTGTTTATTTATATACCACAATCACTGCTACTGCTGCTGCTGATGTTGCTACTGCTTTGCCACAATTACTATTACTGCTACTACTACTACAGCTACTACACAACAACAAATTAGTCTATAGGAGTATGAACTTTGCTTTACAATTAATACTCATTGATCTTCATTGATGATCATCATTATTTTTTTCAGTGAACATGAACTCATCATTATTTATTTGTAATTAAGCAAATGCAAACATCATGAAATCTTCATGATACACGTTATCATGAATAATGGTGTGCCATGATGAGGTAATGGTTTGTTATGATGTGTGCATGTTTTGTTCAGTTCATTCATGTTCAGTGTGAAACTCATGATGATCATCATTAATTATGATAATTCATGAATGTACTACTCATCATGAATAATGGTTGAATTGCAATGATCTCATATAAATCATTAGGGAACTCATCATGAACTAATGCATGAATCATGATGAATTAACACATTCATGTCATTTCTTTTTATTATAAAGTGTGTTCGATGTTCTGAACATGTTCATATTTCCTTCCAAACATAGTTCCCAGTTTAGTGTTCAGCCGACACTACATACAGGAGCATTACCGCACACTAAACTGTTAACTGGCTTCTCTATGTTCCTCTGCTGGGACTGTAGAACTGTTGATAGTATATTTGGGAGTATCCTTTTCATTTTCCAGCTCTGACTGCAACCTTCCACACACATTATCATAATTTATTTATATTTTATGCCTCATTGTCAGCAGTTTTCCTGTGTTGTTTCAGTGCCGGGTCAGTGCGCCAGGAGGTTGGATTTGTTGCCGCCGCACACGCCCCACTCGACAGGTGCTCAGTGTTTGCCTCTCTTCTGCTCTGAGGCGCGTGTTTGTGTGTGCGCTTGTTTGTGTGCGCGCTTGTTTGTGTGCGCTTGATTGGGTGTACGTGTGTTTGTGTGCGAGATGTGTGTCCGCGATGGGCTCCGCCACCACACAGCTGTCACTCACAGACCTATCACACATTCAGAGCCAACAACAGCCGAAAGCAGATTTTGGTGAAATCCCCCACTCTAGCCTATATTCACCTTTCAGGATTTGTATTTACAGGAATCAATATCTGAAGACCTATTTATGCGGATATATGACAAATATATCAGAAGCTAGAAACAAGATTGTGTCAGTTATATCCTATTAACATAAGATGAAAAATTTAGAAATCATAATCATTGTTTCTTTATTCAGACTCTAGCTGCACAAAAAAAAAACAGAACAAGAAACACAGACAAACACCAAAAGACTCACTTGAAAAATTCAGACAAGCTTATAAACGAAAACTACACTAGCTCCACCAGAGACTACTTCCTAGTTTATTGTCATTACACGTTTTTTTATTGTCACAGCAGATGTTAGCCTTTTATTTTGTTTGTATGGGCAGTATCACAGCTCTTATATTGATCAAACAGGCTTTTCTGTTCGTCTAAAGAAGATATAATAATTTCTTCCAGGAAATGAGGTCTTCAAACCACACATGAAACTATCATTGACAATTACGAATGGATCTCAAAACTAACCGTTGTGAGACCAGTTAGTTTTGCCCTGATAATGTTTTGTCGGAATAGTAATCCTAGACCACGCTTTACACTCTGCTCATCTGTGAGTGAACTATAAAAACATCCAGCCAGCAGAGACTGAAAGTGGCTTACAATGACGCCTTTAGACTGTTGCTTAAAAAGTCCCAGATGGAGCAGCGCCTCTGATCTGCTTGTGTCCTATAGAGTGAATACACTGCAGGCGCCCTTAAGGAACTTCATGTTTTAATTCATGTGCCGCCTGAACAATAGCGTAAATATGGTCATTTATTTATTACTGTGGAGAGACTGGTTGATTTGGGGATTTCGGCTGTTTTATGTTATTTGTTGTCTAGTGTGTTGTGTCTGTCGATTTTTGCACTGGACAAGAGTCTGTGATAAAACTAGCTATTTATCTATCTGTATCCATCTATCAGCCTGTCTGTCAGCTTGTCTGTCTGCCTGTCTCTCTATCAATCTAGGCTAAAATGTGACTACTTTGCACCGCTATCTACAAACGAAAAAATAAACAAATCCCTGAAAAGCACTGAAGTTAGATTTGATTAGCTTTTGATCCAGCTGTTTTCACTTGAATCTAATGGTCCAGAGTGGATGCAAACCCATGACCGTCATTGTACTCATTAGCAAAGATGTTTTTTGTTTGTTTTTTTTCTATGAGGTGGGACAGCTCACTCACATTAACGTAATCAGCTCGTTGTGATAATGACTTAAGTGGTCTTCGTCTTTCAGGTGAAGGTGAATTACTCACCAGTCCATTATGGAGCTCAAGAGTCGAAGCCAGGCGCGGCTCCAGAAGTGAATTCCCCCATTTCATTGTTTTCATGAAATATTCAAAAGCATGATGGAGGGCTATACAGTGACTAATGTCCATGATACGGCTGGCTAGACCTGCTATCATAATTACTAAGTCGAATTAGCGTTCCCTGATAACATTTTGGGCTTCAAATTTAAACGTCTGTACATTTTCTTTGTAATAGTGGAGACATTTTTGCTATTTTCTATGTAGTTTTAGCAATAGTGTTCAATATCTGTAAATACTTCTTAATTCTCTTTTTTTCCCTTAACAAATGCTTTTTAATGATATGGACGAATTTAAAATAAAAAAAAATGCTTTACCTGGATTATAGTTAGACTGATAACAATTGGTATTGTGACTTGCCTATCTACTCTAAGCGAATAGACTTTCAGAAACCTTGAAATATCATTGCTGCGCTCTCTATTTCTCGGCCTTTCCTGTTTAGCCAATGTTGTGTACACATAACCAGGTTTGGGATACACAGGGATGTTGTTTTGTTGAATCGTGACTGGGCAGCTACATCAGCAGGCAAAGCAATGTTTTTTCCTGTTCATTTTCCTCCCTCCTGAATTCCAAGACAGCTCCATCTAGATTTGGGTTGGTAGCCATGTTGATTCTTCCTCCTCTCGTCTTTGTTCTCGTGACATTTCATGGAGTTTGTATGGTATTGTTTTATCACACATATTTGAACTGTAATGGAGGATTTAATAACAGGCTTTGATCTAATCCATTGACTATTAGCAGATGTGCTTTTTGCTGTGCCAGTTTGTCCCGTCTTGTTGATTTCCTGTTGGATTTTCACGTAGATATGGACGTCATAGGCACATTCCTCCAAGATAAAGGAGGGGTTTAAAGTATTGACACAAGCAACATGGGTGATGATGTCTTGTTTTTAACTTTGTTTTGGTAGTAACAGCTCGGTTCTGTTTTTCCTGTATGTCACAACCCATATGTCACAACTACCTGCCCTCACCCCACAGCATTTCAAAATCTCATATTAGAGAAATTCTATTATGTTCACTAAATTTGGCCCCGCAAACACGGTGACCAAATGCTTCATTAGATCATAATATAATTTTAGTGTGTCCGCGTGGTACCTTCTGGACACAATATTCTATTAGCACATGTAGCTCCTGGCCAAGTCTCACCTACCAAAGCAGAAAATGTGATTACCAGATTTTCTCTAGAGCATAGCTGTTGATAGGTGAAAGACTGCCATTTATTTTGAACAAGAACACCCCACACGTTTTGACATTTATATTCTCATGTGTCCTGTCTGAAAGCGTTTGACTTGATCAGAGTCAAAAGGATTTCCTTTCAGTGCCCTGAGGCATGACGAATACATTACTGCTACAACTAAAACATTCATAATTTTATTTTTTAACGTCAGGAACAAATATAGAGCTGTGTGAATAACCATGCAACAGTCATGAAGGCTTGGGAACATGTTGTACTTGTATTTGAATAGGCACGTGTAAGACTCTTTATGTGACGAGGAAAACTAGAATTGGGCTCCTAAAAGTGAAATGATGATGCAACTTTTTTTAAAGTAACATTTTGTATTAAGTATAATGTATACCACAAAAAGTAAAAGCTTCCCTCCTGTGGTTCAGAGAATGGACTTTAAAGCAGCTTCGCTTTTACAAAGCTCTCCAAGGTCTCGCACAAAAGTACATCTGTGACATGAACCAACTCGGAATCTGAGGAGCACAGGGACTGGCCTCTTGCTGGGAATCCGAGCACAGGGACTGGACTCTTGCTGATCCCAGTCAGGACTAAATATGGGAGTGCAGGTTTCATTTATGCAGTTCAAATCTTAAAAATGTGAGACTTCCTTCTACTTTGACAATGTTCAAATCCAGGTTAAAACGTCTGAAAGAGGATTATCTGGACATGTTTCTTTTAAGAATAATGTCAAAATGATTTAATTTTTTCATTTTCTTGTATTAATTGTTTTGTTTACAATATGTGCTCGAGTGATAAACATGACTTTCCTTGTCTTAAAAGAAAAGGAAACTATTATACTGGGCGGCACGGTGGCGGAGTGGTTAGCTCTCGCTTCTCAGCAAGAAGGTCCTGAGTTCGGATCCCGGTCGGAACAGGGCCTTTCTGAGTGGAGTTCTCCTCGTGTCTGCGTAGGTTTCCTCCGGGTGCTCCGGTTTCCCCTACCACTAAAAACATGTACAAGAGGTCTGGCCTCCTGTACTGGCCCCGCTCCTATCTCTGTGTGGAGTGAGAGACAAATGCCCAAAATAAAAATTGTAAACTGCTTTGTGACTCTGGTCTGTGAAAGGCAGTATATAAATAAAAAATACTTACTTACTACTTACTTACCACTATAGGCCATTTTATTATTGTATTTAATTGTATTATCTATTATCTTAAATAATAGATCCTGTGTGATGTGTGCAACCTGAGTGCTCTTATTTCCTGAAAGTGAATAGTACATGTGTTACAGTTACACACCAAACACAGCTGCCACTTGAATTGATTCATAATGTCATTGTGCAACATATAGTGCAACAAATCCATCAAGTAGTGGTATATAATATTTTGGCACAACTCGCATGCTTACATTGCACCGAGCTAAAATTTGAATGAATAAATATTACGTCTGTGTGAAATCCCTGGAAGGAAAATAATTGTAAACTGACAACAGTATGAGCAGTGGGCAGTTGACTCCACCGCCGGGCGCAGAGATGTTTAAGGTCCACAAAATGGCTGGAAGGAAAACCACTCTGCCAGCTAGCTCATGATCCCTGCTGACACAAGTGTGGGAAGACATGATGGATTTATGATAGAGGCAAAAGTACATGGCTAATGCAGCTGGAAGCAAAACCACGGCTGTATCACAGAGGACAATCTCAGACCACACAAAAGAACAGAAATGATCGAAGGGAAAAAGCACTACCATCTATATCGATCAAGCCGGCAGATGAAGCACTATAGATGGAGTAAATGTGCACATCTTCAACAGTTTTATGGACAAAAGAAAGATGAGTTACTAGATTAAATTGCCAGAGGAGCACTGCATCGACAGCATGTAAAAGAGGAGACGGCAGTTGCAGACTGAAATCAGACAGCGGGAGAAGACCATTTCCTTTTAATACTAGGAAAGTGAACAGCTGAGTGGAAAACCAGGTGCATAGGATACCATACCTGCATATATGGCTTTAATATGTATCGTAATGGTTGAGAATTATGATAAATAGAACTGTTGTCATTGTGATTTAATATTAGAGTGTGCGTTGGTGGTGGTCAGAGGGTCCTGTAAGGATTGTGTCAGTCTGCCCCAGGGTACAGTATGTGCGCGGCGAACAAAATAAGGTGTGATATTAAAAAGATTACTCATACATTCTTACTTACTGTGATTAAATGTATAATATCCTTTGACTAGGGAAACGTAATACAAGTATCGCCTGTAAAAGGAATCTGAAACCCATAAATAGGTTTTGCTTGGATTACTTATGATTGATTGCTGGTATTCTAGGAGACT